GGCCTGCGGAAGGTTTTCCCCGGGCCTGGCCGAGCCGATCTCTGGCTCGGCTGCAGGTTTTGCTGTAACTACATTCACTAGAAACTGCCCAGTGAAGAAAGAAGGAAGCCCTGGACTTGCAGCAGGTTGGAACAGCGACCACACGCTCCAGAGCAGCCATGAAGAACTTTCCATCGCAGACGGCTCCAGCTCCTGTTCGGCAGAGATCTCTAAACCATCTACAAAAGCCTGGGCAAGATTTTAACTCTTTCATTACCCAGATGAGACTTGCGGATTAATCTTTTTATCCAGAGAGAGAGAGAAAGAAAGATCAACATGAAAAGAGACTTTATAAACTACCAGTGACAGGAAAGAAAAGAAGCTTCAGGAAAGGTAGAGAATTAAGAAGATGCTTTAATTAAGCTGAAATATCTCCCTGTTAGAACTATGGAGATGGACAATAAAGTCCTGAAAAGAACTCCTTTAATTCATGATATAGGATCTAGAGAGGAATAGTGTTCAAAGCGTAAATTTGAGTAAAGAGTAATTATAGTATAGTGAAGTACTGGGAGATTAAAAGCCTTGAGAGGCCATGAGAAAACTGTTGAGAGATTTGAAGCCCTGAGAGGCCATGAGAAAACTGTTTTCTGGTGAAGCTCACAGAAACAGATGAAGAAGACTTTTTTTTGCCTTTGAATAACTTATCCTTAAAAATGTTACCTCTAGACACATGGCCCATACTTACTTCAGAGTGATGTGAAAATGGGAGGAGTGAACTCTAATAATAGCAGCTCTGAGCAGCTAACATTAGGGCAATAGAAAACTATAACAAAAATAGTTTTCTTGTGAGAAACTCCATAAATTAACAGGAAGAAACTTCTGTTTCTCTATAAAGACTGGTGAACATACTAGCAAGAATTGAGACTGTTTTAACCATCAGAGTTCCAGAGTTTTTGTCTCTGTTGTCATGTGAACAAGAGAATAGTGGGTAGATAAGGGATGGAAAGGTTTTTCTGGAAGTTTATTCTGGTGTTCTTATTACTGTGGTTTGTCAATAAACTTTCTTTTTTTTTCCCCTTTTAAGTTGTATGCCTGTTTTGCTCTTATTCTAATCCATATCTCACAGCAAGAAGTAAGTAATTTTCTTAGTTAGTGGTTTAAAACCACGACAGTGGCGTCACTGAAGTGTGCTGTGCTCTCCTCTCAGCCCTGCTCACTGGGTAATGCTGAGGGCAATTACACATGTCCTTCTCACTGAGCCCCGCTGGCAGGGCAGCACTTGTGGGGCAGGTTGTGGTGAAAGGCAGTGAGACCAGATGCCTCTGTTATACCCATGAGCCTGGAAGCTTTGTGGTTTCCCATGCTGACTGAGACGAGCTTGACAGGGTGTATTTAGAGCAAGCAGAGCCCTGCTCCCTGGCTGCCTCCTCACAGCCCACATTGCTCCAGGATCCTGTTTATGGCTGCCGTCTAAGCTGGGGTCCAGGCAGGCTTGGGCTGACAGCGCTACTGGCAACAACCAAGGCATTCCAAGTCTTAGATTTAGCTGGAGGGGTTTTATCAACATAAACATGGCAAATCCTAACAGAGTCCAGCACTTGTCCCTGTCGGCCCTGTGGAAAATAATAATGTGTTAAGCTGGTCGAGTAAGTGGACTACTCACAGTCAATCATTATGGGAATTTTGATATGACTCATTTCTTACACTTGCTCTTACTTACAGCTCTCATAAGTCTCAGTTGTATAAAAGAGACCTAAATTAGTTTCAAAAGGAGCAGAGGAGGAAAGTGTTTCATTCTCGGATCAGCCCTCAATTTCTAACCACTATTTTTGTTGTTCAGAGATATGCCAGAAATAATATTCTGAAAAAAAATACAAAAAATTACAGAGGGTTATTAGTATTCTTTAGTTTATTTGTTATATGTCACTAATGTGGAGCGAGATTTATTTTTTTGTATGGGTTCCAAAGGACAAAGGTAATTTGTTTTGCCTGAAGGCTTCAGACACTGGTGAAGTTATTTTCCTGGTTCTAGCCCAGTTCTTTCCAGGACATGTGTCCTGCTATTTGAACTATCTATCTCTTGAGCTGAATAGGCTTAGCTGAGCTAGAGTTCATGTCCTGACCTGCACTCAAAGTCGCATGAGATTGTGTTTTAAAAAACAAAACCTTGACGACTTGAGCAGCTTTTGTCTCCCTGAAGAGATAAGGAATACATAAAATCTCAGAATCTACATATTTTATTGCTCAACCTGAATAGGTTTTGCCTTTTCATCCTACTGGGATAAAAAACTTGTGTTCTCTCAGGATTTCCTGGCTCATGAGGAATCTCAGCTACTGCAAAGCCCATAAGTAGCTGCACATCAACAACTATCTGAAATCCTGTGGAACAAGATTCTGCTTGGTCTAAAAGTGCTGGAGCAGTGAGGACATGAGGATGGGGCTGACAGGGCTCACACAGACCTGCTTTGTTGACAAGAACTGCTATATTTTCTGAGATACTCTTGAGGTACCTTAAAGGAATCTCCCTTCAGGTGAGATCATCCACCAATCTTACCTCCTTTTGCCTAGATTGGACCATAAAGCTCACCTTTATAGAATCACAGAAGCACAGAATCAGCTGGGTTGAAAGGGAATTAAAAAATCATCCAGTTCCATCCATAGCCCCTGCCTTAGGCAGGGATGCCATTCCCTAGCTCAGGTTGATCAGAGCCCCATTTCACCTATCTTAGAACACTTCCAAGGATGGGGCATCCAAAACTTGTCTGAGAAACCTGTTCCCATGCCTCATCACCCTCACAGTAAAGAAATTCTTCCTAACCTCTTTCTAAACCTAACCTCTTTCTGAACCTGTCCTCTTTCTCTTTAAAACCAAAGTCCTGTCACAATCTGCCCTGTGAAGAGTCCCTTTCCCTCCTTTTTATAAGCCCCTTTTATATGGTATATTAAAAAACCTGCACTGTGCCCATTTTATTTTTTTTTTTGCCATTCTATGTGTCTTTATAAAGCCTAAGTGATTTTAGGAATCACTTGCTTCAAGTCCTCAAACTTTGCTGTGTAGCTGCAGAGTGCTAAAGCTTCATCACAGTTTGTTTTCCCTGTGTGAATGAGTTGTGTATCCGAATCCAACGTTTGACTTCAGAGCTCTGCCGTGCTGTTATTGCGATGCCTTTGTAGTTTCAGGCTTAGCTGGAAATTATTTCTCAGATTTTGAAATCCCTGCTCAGATTTTGTGAGGAAGAGGGTCTTGAATGGAGACACAGGTCTGAAACATTGGATTCTCGTTCTCACCCTGACTTCCAAGGTGAGAAATGTTTTGTTGCTGCTGTGTGCTAGGCTGAGGAATCCCGGTGAAAGGCACTACAAAAGTTGACTCTCACCTCTAGTGGGAATGACTGCTGGAAGACCAGCTAAGCTGCTTCCTTTTCCTCAGTGAGAAGCAACCATTCCAAGTATTAATTATTCAAAGTTGATATTTCTGCACTATTTAGGCAGAATCTGGTGGCCCAAATGGCTCCAAGAATAGCTTCCCTTTGTTATTTTTTAATGTGAATGCTTTAGTTTGCTTCATCATCCAGGCATGTTCTTGCTAAAGCTATATACATCACCCTGCTGAAAGCACATGAAGCATAAAACATCTTAGCCCAAAGTTTTCACCTGAATGTTCAGGGCTTGACAGACAGTAATTTCTAAGGTCCAAGTATATCTATTCATGTGTATCTCCAGAGATAGTGGTACAGGATATTGAGATTTTGAGATTTGATATAAAGCTGTTTTTGTAAAAAAGTGGCCTGCAAGCTGCCTAATCCATCGGTTGCATGTGGAATTCAAGCCTTCCTGCCAGGCAGGAGAGACTGCAAGTGCTGCAGGCTTAGGTTACAATGGAAGGTGAAACCAAAAGTATTCTAATACCATCTTCATAAGCTGTTAAGAACAGGTGGGACAGTGTTCTTTATCTCTGATAACTCCCTCAGAGGAGCAGGGGCTGCCCCTGCTAATAGGCCATCAAGTGTCACTGCATGACTCAGAGTTACATCATCCCTTGTGAGATGCTCTGCCCAGGGGGAGGAACCAAGCATCCCTACCTGGGTATAATCTGAGTTTGGAACACCAGGAGAGCACTACCCGCTGAATTCCCAGAGGAGAAAAGCTCCACAGTCACCACTGGACCTCCAGAAAAGGAGCAGTCTTTACTATAGGCTCACTGCTTTAACATCCATCCCATCCCTCACTCCAACAGGACTGCAGCCACCATTTAATGGGACTGCTACCACCACCCTGACCCACAGGGGGTCAGGTTGTGTCCTGACTCTGGCTTGTTTAACTGGGAGAATGGCTGCCAGTGTAAGAATTAAAAATGGAAACACTGCTTGTGTTCTTACTACTCCAACATTACCATGTGCCCAAAGTCACCCTTTTCCAGCAGACTTGGTTTTTACAGTTGACTGCTATCTGAGAGTAACTAGCTGCACACTTTCCTGTGGATAGTTGTTATTAAGTGTTTTTATCATGTTGATGGCCCAGCCTGAGCCCTACAAACAAATGCATACTGCATTTGTAGTAGGTTGACGATGGTTGCTCCATGTGCAGTCTCCAAAGGCTGTAGGACAGCAGCTGGCCAGGATGAGATGAGCACAAGGTGAGAGCTGTGGTTGTGTAAAAAGCATTTGTCATGGTAGAGCAGCTCCCAAGCCATTTTATGCCATTTGTAAGAGAGGCTGTGAGAAGTTTTAATTTTACTTGAAGTGAAATTCTGTTAGCCTTTCACACAGCCAAATTGATTGGTGAACTCACAGGCAGATACGCATTGACTGAAACAGCATGAAGCCACTACCTGCTTTTGTCCTGCCCTTGAGTGCCAAAACTTTGGGCCTAAACCCAAACTAATAGGTGCAGTAGCTGTGAATATTATAATAAAGCCATAGGTAGCTTTCTAATATACTTCAGTTTCCAGTTCTGTGTCTTTCCTGGC